CTGAAAATTTACATGTATTTTTCTTCGTGTAGCGTTACTAGTATATCATCTTGTACATTTGATCACCAGTTATCAAAATATTAAATTATTTCAAAAGTTTCGTCCGTTTCAATTTCAACCTTGGAGATGAGCCTCGAAGTGGATGATTTATATTGATCTAAGTGGAAGATTTGATGACCCTGGTGGAGAACAATCCATCAAAAACAGTGCGTGGGATGGTGGAAGAACTATGCATCAGCTTCCAAACTCATTCAAGAAGTCAAAAAGCTCGAAAAGTGAGTCCCCTACGTTTCGAAGTTTGCTCGTCACTGTTTCTACGCAACCGAAATGATCAGATCGTCACGTGTGATGAAAAAAGGATCTTCTATGACAAGAAAAAACGTTCAGGATAGTGTTTGGACACCAAGGAGTCATCCGGGTACTTCACAAAGGCGAAACCTCACAAAAAAATCATAGTCATTGTATGGCTGGTGTGATTCAGTATAACTATTCGCAACCGGGCCCAAACAATCATAGCAGAGTCATATCGTGAGAAAATTGACGAAATACTCATACTGAAAATTGCGTCCGCCGCAACCAGAACTGGAGAGGTTCGACCCTGCTCCATGACAACGCCCGTCCACATGTTCCACGAATCATCGTATGGAAATTGTCCCGAGCATTCAATATTCATGCTGACTGAAATATTACAGTCTGAAGTAGACCCAAAAAAAACGAACAGAAATTCTGAAACCTCCTGATGCTTTTATTTCACCACATCATTGGAGCTAGTAGAATTCTAGCCTTTGGGTTATGGTCGAAATGATCCCGTATTACCATACGTTTCGTTTGCATACACGTATCATTTCGAAGTCCCAGCAACGATTAACAGTCGTTACTGAGACTTCAACGATAGCACACAACTGAAGATGACGCAGCAACAAACAAAACGTTCAGTTTATTCTCCTCGACCACAGCCTAACAATCTGAATTTTGTTCTCTTCAATTATCACTTCGGCCGTGAAAATATATGTTCTGAAAGATGCGTTGAACAGTTCTTAGGCTAACACAAATATGACGCTACAACTATTGAATCGATATGATGTTCAGTTAACCATAACCTTCGAAAGATACTTGAAAGAAATTCACAGCTGTTGGACTATTATTTCGAGGGATTGAGTGAAGTTTTTTTTGTTGGTTTGAAGAGAATGGATGAAAAGAAATTTCGTGTGATGATACATATGCTTTTTGGGAAAAAATATTGTTGAAACCAAAGCTTGGCTTCAAGAAGAATACTCATACTTTGCACCAGGAAACTCAACCGTTGAGAAGTGGGATTGCTAACTTTGAAGGATGTGAAATGAGCATCGAGGACGATGAACGGAGTGGACGCCCCAAAGCGACTGGATGACCGCAAAGTGAAGTTGATCGGGATAGCTGAGGCCTTAAAGATATCAAAGGAACGTCTGTTCAAATTATATGCCGCAGAAGCTCATACTTGACCGAATTTATGCGTCGCTATGTCACAATGAATAAAACATGGCTCCATTATTTCACACCAGGATCAAAACAAAGATTGCAAAGACGCAGCAGCAAAGTAATGGTGTCAGTGTTGTGGAATTTCTACCTGTTCTCAGTGCTCAAGAAAATGCTCGCTGGAGGAAAATTTAGCTCCAATGAAGAGAAAATCGTCAAAACTGTAGCCTACTTTGAGGCTGAAGAAAAATCCTACTATAAAAATGGTATCGAGAAATTGTATGATCGCTATAATCTTTATATCGCCTTTGAATGCGACTTTATTGGATAAATTGAAGAATAAAATTTTATCAAACAGCCCAATGTTATGTTTTCTCACTTCCATTACTCCTTCACCCATTTCAATTTCTGTATTTTCCATATTGTTAGTGTATTCTACTGTATCATCTACGTTCTCATCTGAGTCCGAAATATACTCTGCTTCTCGGAACAGGATGGTTCCGAACCAGAAAACTGTACACACCTCAGCAACTTTTGATGCTTTATAAAGCTCAGGTCAGAACTTCTTTGAAGTATTGTTCTCTAAGCATACACTGTAGCTGCTGGATTCCATCAAGAAAAGAGACATCCAACTGATTGAAAGCACCAACATCACTTTCAACCTTAATAGCCTGGTAGGAGATTTTTTTCTCTTCTATAGATATTTTCACGGGAAGTGTTCAAGTGACTTGGCACATTTGAATCCAACAAGAGCGGTACATATCAGAAAAACGGGACGGACTGTGACTGCTCATCGTTTTGAGGTTCAACTCAGTACACCTCTAACTCCACTCTTCAAGAACTCTTTCATTTGGAGAAATGTGTTCATGTTGCTCACTCGGAATTTTTCACCAAAACCAATACCATTAATAAAAATCAATAAATACTGTGTAACATAACTTGCTCATTGATGAAGGTGACTTTGTTTCTGCAAAAAATCTTGAGGGTTTCCCACGAAAGGTAACTGAATTTTGTACCAAGGAATTTCGAGTTCAACATAATATATGGGTATTTTTCATTTCTGGAAATTAAAGAATTCCAAACCCAACATAAATTCTAAATGTTTTTCGATCTCTCCGGATGGAAAAAGAAGATTCATAATGGTTGCACAGTGTGTGAAACCCAAATAGAATAAATTCATTATCTCGGTTACTGTACATATTTAAAAAAAATCCCGAAACACGTCGAATGTAAATTATAATTTGCCACCCCTACCTTTAACTCCTTTCGAGAGACAGGTACAACCCTCAATTTTTAAAATGAGAAGTATAGGTTTGTGATATATCATTTGAAAGGTCTCCTCATTTTCTATTCAGAAATGAGATTAAATAAATTGAAATCATGAGGTTGCATGAGGTTGCAATAAAATACACTCAAAAACTAAAATGTAATACAAAACATGATGAGAATCTATGAAGTAGGTGTTCAAAATGTTCACCGCAAACGTCTCGGCAACATCCTAATTTCAAATAAAACTGTCTTCTAACATTATTTAACATATCAGCCGTAACCGACCTAATCATGACATCATTTTGAAAAAGTGCCAAATAATTATCGCCATTCAAGTTGACCTCAATGAAAAAGGGACTAATTATATGGTTTGGTACAGTTCCTGCCCAAAAAATAACTTTTGAGGGTATTGTTTGTGTTCTTCTCTCATCCAGTGAGGATTTTCTGTTGACCGGTAGCGGCAATTTTTTCGATTAGCATGACCTTTGAAAAACAAAGTACACTCATCAGAACATAACGTCTTCTAATTGGATGATATTGTTGTCCAACATGTCGTTCATTTGCTCAAAAAAAAAGTTCTTTTATCGAAATTGTCTTCCATGTGCTCCTGAGTAGGTATCATATTATAGGGATGCATTTTATTTTCTTTTAGTATGAGTTTTTTTTAAATGGGTTTTCCTCAAACTCAACCATCACATATAATTTGAGTTCATCACTCATTGCATTAGCAGCTACTTTTTCATCTGCCCACATGACCAAGCTCGCGAAACTACTTCTCTATTTTGCTTATTGTTCTTTGAGATATGGGCGTAAATTAGGAAATCAACCATGAAATAGGTGAGCTGCTTCCTGTTGTGTTCGGGTTTTATCTCCATAACCAATCATTATTTGTGAAACTGTTATTTTATGCATTTCCGTTAATCTAACCATTTGTCAGGCTTGAGATTAACGAATTTTGAACTTGAATTAAAATACTGACACTAATGTTTCAACACAGAAAATAAGTTGACAAGGCGTTTTAAACTAACGTTGCCATGGAAATTATGTACCGGTTTTTTATACGATACCATTTGGAAAGAACATTGCTATGGTTTTTGCTTACTTTCTCATTATCAATACCTCAACATGAAATAAGTTTCGAGTATATTGCAATAAGTTTTGAGAGTATTTTATCGAATTTCGGTATGCACAAGATTTTAATTTATTTTATCTTAATTGCTGCAATAAACTTTTGAAAGCTTATAAGAAAAGTTAGTGGTTCAATAATAACGGGAAATATATGTTTGATAGTAATAATAGAGATTTCGTCCATACCGGAAGATGATTTGTTCTTCATTTCAAATAAGGTTTTTGATATTTCGTATTCGGTGATTACATGAATTGTCTATAGCAATTTTCCTAATTAAGTTCGTGACTCACCAAGTGGTTCGTAACACTGTTTTTGGAACTTGTCTCCAATAATTGCACCGAAGAAACCCAGTATAGCTTGCGGAAACTCAGTTAGGAGAAACAACAAAAGAACTGCCACCAGCATACCAGACGTTCTATCCGCTTGTTTGTCTTTTTTCCTGGCATTCATCATAGGTTTCGAATCTTTCAGTTCAGTCAAAGGAAGATTTTGATTGAGCAGCTTATTTTTCCTTTTCTTGGTCTCCAAAAGGACCAGAACAAGTTTTTGGGACAAGTACGTGAGAAGCACGCAGGGCACTAATTTGATGACCACAGCGTATATCCAAAAACTCCAAGTCAGATAGGTGTCGTTGATGTATGTGGTCACATAAATTGTTTTGTAAAAAACCTCCGAACTATTCATAAACACCAGTCCGGTATCGTTATCAATTATTTTATCGTTAATGTCACAAGTTTGATTATGCGATGCAATATGGAGCGATATGAACAGCGGAAAGCAGATCAAAGGGCACGCCAAGTATGTTAAAACAATTACGGTAATTGTTTTTCTGGTATCGCACCAGTACCGGCTGTTGTGTGGACTTGTGATAGCGAGATATCTCCAAATTGCCAAAATTACAGTCAAACAACAGGAAATAAAATGAAACATCTGGCTGAAGAGCGCGTGGAACTTCATAAAGACCGCGCCGTTGTAGGAGAAGTGTTGAATGTAGTCCCTCTGCTCCAAGTTGTGGTATCTATGAAAAGAGAACGGTATATATTCCAACATGACTAGTAAATCCGCGACCGCGAGTCCCGTAAGGATGAAGTTTGTTGGCCATCGCATTTCCTTCGTCGTTAATACGCAAATGTTCAAAATATTAGCCACCGAACCGAAAACACAAACTATCACACTCAAAGGACCATGTACTTCCCGATAGTTCTTCTCGACGGTTAGCAAGTTGCAAAACTTCGTTTCATTCATTTTAACTTATTCTTCTTTCACTTTTCACCGCTTTCACCAGAGTTTGGACTTGTTGCAAAAGTTTCCCAACACTTCGCGGAATTTCGCGCTCAAAAGAGGAATCGGACTAGCTGTATCCATTGCGTGAGGTTGAGGAGCGTGTGATTCGGAGAATCTTTGAAATTTCCACGTCGCGACGCTCGGTTCAACCGCACGCATGCGTTCCGCCGGAAACTGCGATAGGTAACTGTTCTCTCGAGTAGCACTCTGTTATTTTTTTTAATTGAACGCAATTAATGTATTTCGTAAGTCAAACGTTCCGCCACAGGTGTGGAATTGATACTCGTAGGGGATATTTGCAGTTAATTAATTTTGGCATTGGTGGATATTTTTTTATGGTTGCGGCAGCACTACTCGTTTGTTTTTAAAATAACCTGGATGAATGATCCTGACATATTATGATAAATTCATTAGTTCGGACTTCCATTGTCTGATATTATACAGGGTGAATCACAAGTACTTTGACAAACTTCAGGAGGTGATTCCTCACAATATTCTAATATGAATTGTCTAAATAAATGAATGTCGGGAAACGCTTCGTTTCCGAGATACAGGATGTTGAAGTTTTATTTTTATTTTCGTTTTTTTCAAATGACTTTTGAAATACTGAACTTAATTAAACGAAACTTGGTAATATGAGGTTTTTAAGGTGTCAAATTCGAACCTGATGTTCTTATTGCTCTTACTCGTAGGGGGCGCCACCTACACGTCTTTTTCTTTTTTAAAGATCCATAACTTTTTTGGGCGTACTTCTAGCACATTTTTCAGTAAAAAAATCGATTCCTCTATCATATCTACGTAAATAAGCTACCCTTGTTACTAGT